CGTGGCGGCGGCCGGAATTTATTTTGCCTATTAAAACTTTGGCCGCGCCCTCGGTGTGACGGACGTGCCTGGCCGTGCCTCGCCTCGCTTCGGCCCCGGATTGGCTTGTCGGATTCAAACCGCATTCCTAATGGGCACTGTCCAGTGGGCACGCCTTTAGCCATTTGGCATGTGGTGACATGTCGTTACAGTGCGTGATGCTGCCCGGTGCTGCCGCCCCTTTCCAAATATGGCTGCCCTACGCGCTCACGGCGAAAACCGTAACGCCAAGTACTTGGACCAGGTGCAAGGCACCAACTGTGGTCGCGCATACAAAGTTTTTCATTTTGTCCAAGGAACGGGGCACTCTTTGTTAACTTAAATGTAAACTCAAAATACCTCATAGAACACATCTCCTTTCTTCCTCTTCTCTCTTCTTCGCGTTCCCCTCCACCCCTCTCTCCTCGCCTCTCTCACTTCCCTCCGTGTCGTGTTGTCAACACGCGTGTGGCAGGGACGCTGCGCCGTGCCCGCTCGTGTATTGCGTCGGAATGCCCTTACATATTTGCGCTGCCGACGTGCCTGCCTGCCCTCTGGCCCTTCGCCCGGAGTGGAGGCTGGTTCCTGTCGAACTCTCTTAGCGCCGCGCCGCCCGTTCCTCCGCGACACTGTCAAAACTTGGCCGGGGAGTCTTTCGGCGTCCGTGCCAGTCCGTGCTTATGCGGTTCGTTTTGCCCGCTTTTCCCCGCTTTTGCCGCTGCTGTCGCGGCGGGGCTGGGGGGGGCGGGGCGGGGCGGGGGGGGCGGGGGGGGGCTGGGCGGGCGGGGGGGGGGCGGGGGGGGGCGGGGCGGGGGGGCGGGGCGGGGGGGGGCGCGGCGGGGCGGGGCGGGGCGGGGGGGCGGGGCGGGCGGGGGGGGGGGCGGGGTGGCCACTTCAAGTTCCCGAGTGGCGGGGACATGTTTTGCATGGCGGAGTTGCCTCGACCCGATTGGTCCGGCGTTCGACTGCGTGGGGCTGCGTACCAGTGCAGTCTCTGCTCAAGCTTAAAGGGGGACTTGGTGGCCCCTCGGACACGGTCATTTATTTCCCCCCCCCTGATTTTAATGGCCCCGCGGGGTTTCGCTGGCCGGCCTGGCGGGCCCCAGTGCTGCGCCTTGTCTTGGCAGCGCCCTCATTCCGCTAAGAGCCTCATGTATATTTTTAAAACAAGGCGGGGCGGGGCGGCCGTAATGCACCGCGGTGCAGGCCGCGCCGCCCCCGCCGCGCCGCCCCGCCGCGCCGCCCCCGGGCCCCGCCGCCCCCGCCGCGCCGCCCCCCCCGTGCCGCCCCCCCCCTTCATCCCCCTCGTTACCTTATCATTGTCACGCTCGTACGCACACGAAGACCACTCCGCGCGGACACCACTCCGCAGGCTCGTTCCGAGCTCGGTGTCTTCAAAAAATGTAAAAAAACCCCTCGAAAGATATGACGCTACCAATAGACTCCCCGCAGTATTTTTCGGAGGGGTTTTCAGCATTGGCAACCTGCACGGGCCCTTTCCCCTTTCCCCCGGGGCGCGGAAGGCGAGCCGGGATGAAGCACTGGTTTGCCGGAAGCGCGCGCGTGTCGCCGGGGCTGGTTGACGGGTCCCCGGGGGAAAAAAGGGGGGGGGGGTCTCGCGTGCCTTTGGCGGAGAGTCAACATCGGGGCGTCGCGACTCGGAAGCGCTCGGCAGGCATTGCGCGTCGTAGTGGCGCGCATCTGTCTGCTCGCGCTCTCGGCTCGCTCTCGGCCCACAGCCCCGCCGAGCGGTTCAAGGCTTGGTTCAAGGTGCCCAGCGTCCCGTGGAGGCAACTCATCGCCGCCGAGGCACCGTCAAAGCGAAAGAAAGCAAAAAAAAACAAAGAAATCCGAAAGGGAAGAAAAGCGGGAGAGTGCCGCACGGGCAGCAATTTTTGGGGGGATCCGGCGAGGCCGTCTAGGGTGAAATTGAACTGGCCTCGCCCCGGCGGTCCGGCGGTCTGGGGCCCCGGTCCGTCCCACTCAAAACACGGCCTGTATCTCGGCTTGGACGGCCGGCCCCGCTTGGGGTGAGGTTCCATCGGGCCAGGGCCGCCAGGGCCGCCAGGGCAGTGCACGCTAGGCCGCTACAGCTGGTCCGCACAATGCCCTGGAAGCCCTCGCCCCCCCCGCCCCGCCCCCCCCCGCCCCGCCCCGCCCCGCCCCCCCCCGCCCCGCCCCGCCCTAGTGCGGCCCGGCGCCGAGCGGGGGCGCCGCGGTGGGCCCGGGGGGGGCCCTCCTGGCGTCGTTTGCGCCCCGCGGCAAGGGGTATCGCCGGGGGGTCGCTACGCCGCGCTCGAAAATACCCCACGCCTGTGGGCGGAAACCCACGCCGGGGTGAGGCCTGGGGCAGACGACGCAGAGGACGGGGCGGCCCGGGGCGGCTCATGGTGGCGCGGTGGCTGCTTACCGTGGCCCGTGGGAGGGGGAGCATCGTCTGCTTATCTTTACGGCCATGTCTGGCCAACTCAAAAGCAAGGCCAATCATTCTTTTCCGTTTCGTTTGAGAGGA